GGACCAGTGCCGTACCGGAGATGACTATTGGCTGTACCCACAACGCCCCAGGGTAACAATGGTTTGACAAGAAGTTTAAGCAATCAGAGAAAAGCCCTAACTGAAACCCACACTTACAGCCAGCTACCGGCTGATGGAAAGATTCGTTAGCCAAGCACATAATTATTTTACGCAATTATTTGCACAAAGGCTTTAAAAGTTTAACATGTTCAGCAAAAAAAACTTTTTTAAATGTATAACGAGAGCATTTTCAGCATATCAGATATAGATCTAGGTCTCATACTACAAATAAGTTTGAAGTAAGTATAACCCACTAAAGTTAAGAGACTGAAATGAAGAAGAATTTGATATAATATAAAGATACAACAGAGTACAGGCAAGCAAGTATTTATGACAAATGAGGAAATTAAGAAAACAAAAAAGGGGATCGTCTAGTCTGTAAATCGGCCGACGTCTAAGAGTTAAAGTACCTTCAAAGTTAGCAGATTATAAATTTGGTCGTTCACAAAGGATCCTGGGTCATTTTGGTAACCAACCCCGCGTGTACCCCCCCCCCCCCCCCTCCCTTTGCACCCCTGTCCGTCTTGTGCGACTCTCAAGAACAAAGAATCTGCCTTATCGGCCAACGAATAAGAGATCCACGCGTGTTTGATACAATCTTAGTATTATTATTATTATTATTATTATTATTATTATTATTATTATTATTATTATTATTATTATTATTATTATTATTATTATTGTAGTAGTAGTAGTAGTAGTAGTAGTAGTAGTAGTAGTAGTAGTAGTAGTAGTAGTAGTAGTAGTAGTAGTAGTAGTAGTAGTAGTAGTAGTAGTAGTAGTAGTAGTAGTAGTAGTAATAGTAGTAGTAGTAGTAGTAGTAGTAGTAGTAGTAGTAGTAGTATTGTTGTTGTTGTTGTTATAACTGTTATTTTTTGTATTATTATGTTGTTATTATTGCTATTATTATTGTTATTTTCGAATACTGGTAGTAGATCTATCTGCCATTTATTTTATTTTTTATTATTTAAGAAATGGTCGCCCTTTGCTTATTTTCCCCACCAGCATGGCCAATCAGCAACACGTGTCCATGACGTCACCACTACAACAGCGAGCGGACTGGTCATCCCTCCAGGCATTCCGACCCTCCACGCTCCAGCGAGCGCTGTCACATGACGGGTTCGAGTTTAAATCTCAAATCCTTTGTTCAATAATACCAAAAAAGGAAGCGACTCCGCCCTTGTGACTCGTTGGCGTGGGTTTGACGGCCATCTTTGTCAGCTGACCAGTCTGCCTCAGTTTGACTGGAGAGTCAGTTCATGTTGCCTTTGTTCATCCCCTGAGCGGACGCTAGTTTGACGAAGTTTGTATATGTGAATGTGTGTCGATAACATCACGTCTCATTTCTTCAAGTTTTTGTAGACATTGTCGCAAAAAGATTTTCCAAAAGGATTTGTTTCCAGTGGTTTCATGTGAACGACACGATAGACCTTCACGATATTGATTCAGGAGATTGTTTCACCCTTCGTTGTGTAACACGTGTTTGGTACCCTCAGTGACTTTCTATTTCGGTGGTTGAGCTATACGGTAGAAAGACCTTCTGTGTGGTGTTCCTCGCTGTTTATCCACAACTGAAGTCATAGAATCATCTGCTGCTCACCAACAACGGACGTCACAGAACCTCGTGGTGTCATCAAAGCCTCCAAGATCAAGAACTCCGGGAGAGAGCACTAGAGTATCTAGCACTGACAGCGACTGCTAAATCCGTGAGTGTCATTGATGAATAGTTCTTGTAGATTATTATCTGCAAAGTTAACGCCGGTTGGTGGAAACTCTCCTCTTCTTCTTCTTCTTCTTCTTCTTCTTCTTCTTCTTCTTCTTCTTCTTCTTCTTTTTCTTCTTCTACTTCTTCTTCTTCTTCTTCTTTCTCCCCGCTCCCTCTCTGTCTCAAAATACTCTCTTTGTGTCTCTCTTTCTCTATACCTCTCACACCGCCCCGCCCCCCTTCTTCTCTCTCTTTCTCTCTATCTATCTATCTCTCTCTCTATCTCTCTCTCTCTCTCTCTCTCTCTCTCTCTCTCTCTCTCTCTCTCTCTCTTACTCTTTTTGTATATATCTATATCTTCTCATTTCTTTCATTTGGTTTTAATAAGGGTTTAACGACACATGCAACACAATAAGGTTATATAAAAACCGAAGATTAGAGATATTGCAAAAGAGTAGCAAGGACAACACAAAGAATGAGGATAGATAATATACGTGTACAATAAATGTATCTGATTAGGAAATATATTATGTTCGAGAGAAAAGAAGGAACAAACCACACCAGAGCACCCGCCACTAATCTTTAAAAAAAAAAAAAACCTTCTATACAAAGAAATGTGTAGTTCAGGGTGTTGGTTTTGGGAGAGGGTAGGAGGTCTAGAAGGCTTGTGGTAACGTTTCTTAGTTGTGAACTGGGCACGCCAAGTGAGTCTAGACTGCTGTTATGTAAAGCTGAAGGTTTCAGTGAATGTCGCCTCAACGGTCCACTCTTTGGTTAGCGACTGTGACGCTCCATGATGTTTTCCCACCATAATACATTGACACGTATCAACTACTTTATCATCCTGTTCCCCTCTGTATAATAAAGAAAAGCTAATACTGTAGCGCTTCCAAATCATTATGTTCTTTACAGTTAACTTTTGACTCCCTGCATAGATTTCTGTTAAGCGTTTTCCACTAATTTTGTTTCAATTTGTCTTAATTATATAGCAAAGAAGTAAATTTTTCAGGGTCTAGAATTAATAAGTTGTATCTTTGTCTTTGTTCAAAATGTGAGGCAGCGTGGTGGAATCAGACTCTCGTCAATTTTGGGGCATGTAGAGTTATTGGTGTCATCTTAGAGCTTGTTCACTTGTCTTTATTTCGATGAAAAAAATATCTCTTTATGTTTAGTACAAGTCGAGACATTTGCAAATGAAGGAGGTGGGGTCGCCTGTTTCCAGAGGTAAAATTTTTGAGAAAATGGCCCCCAAAGATTGGTTATTTCCTTAGCTTAAGAGTCCGCGGTAACTGAAAATTTACATTTTTTTCTTAGTTTATTCAACGTTTTTAAGAAAAATCCGTACAGAAATAAGTTCTTTAATGGGCATGAAAGGTGTTGAGCCAAAAAATAAAAAAATTGATAAAAATTCACAAACCTGTGGAAAAATGCAAGTTTCTTTACTTTGATTATTTTGACGAGAGCCTGATTCCACCACGCTGCCTCACAAATTATTTATTGAGTAAAAAAAAGTCTGATGACTTACATAATGTGACTCATATCATGTCGTCATACTTTGTATTTTAAAGGTATAGGAGGGAGTGAATTTTTTTCTTTCTGTATGGCTCCCTGCTTGTGCGCAATTTTTGGGATTTGGGAATATGCAATTATCATGTGTTCAAAATGAATTGTGTCTTGTTTGAACCAACGAAAGAAGAATAAAAACTATAAAATATTCCAGAAATCTCCAGTAAATATGTTAACTTTCTACTTCTGCTGGACGAGCAAAAAAAAAAAAGAAAGAAAAGAAAAGAAAAGCCACGAGTACCTGAGGAAAGTGCCCTTTCACATCAATAATATGACGTTGGTAAATAAAAATTGTGCTCGAAAAGAAAAGTCTGCCAAGCTTAAATCTCAAGGAAACAATTACGTTCTGAAATCACAAGCTTAAGACTGTCGTACGATCCTTTCTTTTTTTTTCTTTTTTTTTTTTGGGGGGGGGGGGGGGGGGGGGGG